AATATAATTGAAGACTTGACTGTATTTTAGGTAATGTTTTATAGCTCGGAGAGTCTTGCTTTATTCTGTGTAGCATATGAGTTCTTAGAAGATGCCCATCATGCAATGTCACCAATCATACATCTGTTTACAAGCCCAAAGCATATGTTGTGTTAGGTAGGAGACATTTCTGTAGAGTCAGAAGACCTGGATTTGAATCCCAGCTCAGCTGTGTGTTCTCGGACCAATTATCTTCCCTGAGACTCAGTTACATCATGTGTAAAAGGAGGCTAATAATTGTGCCCATCTTACAGGGTGATGGTCAGAATTAAATGTTCATAAAGCATCTAAAGAAAGGCAAGGATCACAGAAAGTCCTCAATGAAAATTAGCTCAGAATCGAATTGCCCAGGTCAAAATTAGGAATAGCTCTTTACTTTCTCTCCTAACTTGTAATGGGTATTCCTCCATAGTTCCCGTAGTCACATTAAGAAATATACTGGCTGGTGCCAGATGTACAAGTGAAGCATGGAGATGAAAATTCAAGCCAGAGTCCATGTTCCTTTCAGTTACTCATGCAGTCTTTCCCACCCCTGGGCTGCTGAAGTTGGTTTGTCAGAAAGCCGTCAGCCCATCTGTTCCATATAAAGTGTCCCCTTCTCACGAAAAGAGGGAGAGCCCATTTGGATGACTTCAAAAGGAAAGAACTATTAACGTTAGAATTTGGTGATGTTTCATTTATGTGTGATTTTCTGGGTTGACAGCTAGTGGAAATTGTATTTGATGTCAAGTAAGTAATTATGGTTTTGGAGCCGAGTTCAGCCACACACACACACAGACACACACACACACACACACACACACACTCATACATAGAAATACATTTCTCATTGAGATGTGTTAGTTGGATACAACTGTAATTAAAATTTCAGGGAGAATTGTCAAAAAGCAGTACTGCTATCCCAAAGGTATCTTGTTTCTCTTTTATTTTTTTTGGTAATATCATTAAGTAATGTTCCTGGCACGGGACTGTTATCCTACTTAAGTATTTTCAACATTCTCCAGATTCTTTCTTATATGAGTGGGTGTCAAATCTCTGCAAGCTGATTAACAGGGAAGTCCAAATAAGTTTATCCTGTAATAATATCCTACAGTTGAATTGCCTTTCACAGCTTATTGAATGCACTCACTTGCATTCTTTCATTTGATTTTCACATCAGCTCTGTGAGGTAGGAAGGAAAGGTTATTACATATCCCCATATAGATGGGGAAATTAAGTAGCTTTCTTGCCCAGATTCCCAGTAAGTGGCAGCACCAGTTCTCAAACCCAGTTTATTCATTCAGTAGTCATTTAGCAAGTGCCTTCCATGTGAATAGAGCTGGTCCTGGTCCTGATAAATTGCCACCCTAATCTTCCCAGAATTCTGCTGTGAGCTAGGAGTCACTGCTGTAATCTATACTAACGGGTCATTCTTTATTTCTTTCCCAGAAGAGGCTGGGAATACCTGACTGGTGCATACGGTTAACACGCTTGGCCACTAACTGAAAGGTGGGAGGTTCGAGTCCACCCAGAGGATCCTGGGGAGAAGGGCCTGGATATCTACTTCTGAAAAGTCAGCCGTTGAAAACCCTATGGAGCACAGTTCTACTCTGACACACATGGGGTCACCATGAGTTGGAATCAACTAAACGGCAACTAGTTTTTGGTTCCATGTGCCAGGAAGTAGTGGGGATGGAAAAGACAAGACGAGGTTCCTACCCTCAAGTATGCCCTAGTCTGGGTGGAAAGACAATCAACAATGCATGTGATAAAATGCGATAAATTTCCTGATGAAAATTTGCTTACAGTACTAGGGAGCACCAAGGACAGGCACCTAAGCTGGCCTAGGGAAGGAAGAATGCAGAGAAGGCTACTTGGAGTAGGTTACCATCAGTCTCGAAGCAGCAGGCAACCAGCTGGTAGGGAGTGGGAGGAGAACCTTGTAGGCAGAGGAAATTGTAAGTTCAAAAACATAAAGACAATGGAGAGCGTGGATCCTTCAGGAAACTGTAAGTCATCTGGAATGCTGGAGTACAGCGGGAAGAGGGGGGATGGGTGAAAAATGGGGTTCGATGGGTGGGGTGCAATTGGACTTTGTGAACCATGTTACGGAGTCTGCTTTGATTCTGGAGGTGGTGGGAGCCATTGGATGACTTTGAGGAGGGCAATGATGTTCAAATTCCATTTTGAAAGGCCACTCCAGCCACAAGGTCAGCCTCCTCGATGGAGGGGGCAGTGCAAGAGGTAGGGGAGCTACAATGGGACTGTTACAGTATTTCAGTAGTTAAATAATTAGGGTTGTGTTAAATCATTGGGGATGTAAAGAAAAGAAAAAAATATTTAGGTGGTCAGAATTATAGACCTGATACACTTATGTGGGCTATGTTTATCTGTCCTGTTTTCTCCTCCTCCTCTATGGCAATCCCCTTCTCCTCCATCCACCAAATGAGCTGCCCTAATCTCCTTACCCAACATGAACCAAACCCGAATATCTTTAAACTGGAACAGGTGCACTGGAACAAAAACTACACCTTCAAAAATCAATCTAAACCAAATCAGTGTTTTACATTATTGTGTTCTTAGCAAGCAGTTGGGCTTAATTCAAAAACAGCTTTGTGGGAGGGAATTATTTGAAAGAAGAGCAGAGAGATTGCTTGTGCTAATAATGCAAGGGGAGAAAATGTTGGGGAGGTGGGAAGAAGGCTGCTCATGAGGAGAACAGTTTGCACAATAATGAGAGCCCTTTTCAGGCTCTAAATTGGATTTTCTTAGTAATAACTAGCTTCAAGGAGGAGTAAAACGTTAGCATTTGGACATCTCTAGCCCCAAGTATCTTAGCGTTTTTTCTGCTTTTCTCCCAGTCGAGGTCCCCATGGGCGGAGCAATGGAGGTTCATCACACAAATCTGTCAATAGCCCACCAGCCCCACGGGAAAAGGACCTTCTGTCCATTCTGTGCCGGAATCAGCTGAGTCCCATTAACGTCCATTCCAGTTATGCACCTTCTTCCCCAAGTAGTAGCAACTCTGGCTCCTACAAAGGAAGTGACTGCAGCCCAGTCATGAGGTGAGTCCCCTTCATCTCCTGCTTCATGATCCTATCCACCATCTAATTCATGGTTCTTATTTTTCCTACTTGGTGAGATTTTCTTTTAAAAAAAAGAAAAACGTTATTCAGCTCTTGCTAACTCTCTATTACCTGCCTTCATCTGCAATAAGACACTTCTCTTTCCTTTCCCACACTCAGATAATCCTACAAGGGCTGCTGCAGAAAGAGCACAAACCACAGTTTCTAACAAGTTGTAGCAGTCCAAGTAGTTACTGACTTGTGGTTGTTAGGTGCCATCGAGTCCGTTCCGACTCACAGCGACCCTATAGGACAGAGTAGAACTGCCCCATAGGGTTTCCAAGGAGCAGCTAGTGGATTTGAACTGCTGACCTTGTGGTTAGTAGCCAAGCTCTTACCACTGTACCACCAAGGCTCCCAGTTACTGACTAGGGAGGAAAACTGGCACAGTGGCAGGAGGAAGGTCCTACACATTTTCCCTCAGAACAGGGAAGACCTGTTCATGTGTTTGTTCCTTCATTCATTCAGACACAGAATACATATTGAATACTGGGATGGGCCGGAGTCCCTGGGTGGTATAAAAGTTAATGTACTTGGCTGCTAACTGAAAGGTTGGGGGTTCAAGTCCTCCCAGAGGTGCCTTGGAAGTAAGGCCTGGTGATCTACTTCTGAAAAACCAGCCATTGAAAACCCTATGGAGCACAGTTGTACTCTGACACCTGTGGGGTCACCATGAGTCAGAATCAACCTGGCAGCAACTGTTTGTTTTTGTTTGTTAGTTCGCTTACCCCAATGTGTCAGTACTGTGTTAAACACTGGGAATAGAACATTGAACGACAGAGAAGGTCCCTGTGCTTGCCATCCAGAGGAGGAGAAAGACATTAGCTATCTAATGACAAAAACAAATTAAGATCATTCTGCAACTACTTGTTGCTATAAGACTATGTAAAAGGAGAGGCGGGAAGTGTTTCAACTCAGTCTGGAGGAATCGCTGCCTCCCTGAGGAAATGAATTAAAGTGAGAGCTGAAGGTCAAACAAGGAGTTGATTAGTTCCGGGAGGATGAAGAGGCTTACAGATGGAAGGAAGGAACCACACACCCAAAGGGGTCAAGACAAGAGGACTAGGGGTTGGGAGCTGGACCTGGATGCAGCCCGTGTTGGAAGGAGCTCAGGCACAGAGGAGCAGGGCCAGTAGAGCGGACTGGATTGGCTCCAGAGTCAGGGAGAAGCTGCCAGCCCTCCTGCAGTCTTCTTCTGGAAGTCCTGTTCTCACTAGCCGGCCCTCTTACAGCAGGGGTGCCCAGCCTTGACCATTCCTGAGAAGGGTCACAGTTCCACCTAGCGATGTTTTGTAGAACATTGGGTGCTTCTCTCACAAAACACATTCTGGTGAGAGGGAGTAACCTTGTCCCCTTCAGAATAAGAAAACTTTCAGCTTCTACCAAATCAGCATACTCACCAGGGGACTGATTTCAGAACAATTTGAATTCAGCTCATAATAATCAGAATCCCTTGGCAGTGGCACATTGTGTGGAAAGTTAGGTCATCTCGCTCTTCCTTCCCTCTCCCCGCCTTCTACTCATTGTCCTTTTAATATAACAGCATGTTGCTCTGAACAGACATCACAAGACTGTAGACAATTATGCATTATTTTGTATGAGATCATTTCTAAACCATAGAATAACCTCCTCTCCACTGCCTCCCTTCCACAAATAAACACCCACCCCTTAGTCTTCCAAGTAATTAACAGTTTTAAGATTGGCAGATATATTAAAGTCCATTTTCTGAAGTGAAGTCACTACTCATTGAGGCGTAAGACCCCAACATACGGCTGCCATCCTTTCTCAAGCTGGTAGCTGTGTGTTCTTTTGCCTTTTTTTTTTTTAATTTATTGTGTTTTAGGTGATGGTTTACACAACAGTTTAGTTTCCCATTCAATAATTTCTACACAAATTGTTCAGTGACATTGATTACATTCTTCACAATGTGTGAACATTTTCATTATTTACATTCTGGTTATTCTGTTTCTGTTAATCTAGTTTCCCTTCCCCCTTACATTCTCATCTTTGTTTTAAAGTAATTGTTGACCATTTGGTCCCATATAGATATAGATGATTTTTCAAAGGAGCACAGTGCTTACGGGTGATATTCATTATTTTGTGAGCCAATCTGTTGTTTAGCTAAAAGGTGACCTCTGGGGTTAGTTTCAGTTTAAGGTTTAAAGAGTATCTCAAGGCAGTAGTCTTGGGGAGTCCTCCAGTCTTAACCAGTTCAGTAAGTCCAGTTGTCTTTTTTGTTTTGTTTTTTAGGAATTTTAGGTTCTATTTCACGTTTTTCTCCCATTCTGTCAGGGTCTGTCTGTTGTGGCCCTGATTAGAACAGCCAGCAGTGGTAGCTGGGCACCATCTAGTTCTTTGCTTTTTATCATAAAGGACACAGGACAAAAAGTAACATTTCATTACTTGGGTTGTTTCAGGCGGTCTGGAAGGTACATGTCTTGCGGTGAAAATCATGGTGTCAAAGCCCCCAATCCAGAGCAGTATTTGACTCCTCTGCAGCAGAAAGAGGTCACAGTGAGACATCTCAAGACCAGGCTTAAGGAATCTGAGCGCCGGCTTCATGAAAGGTGAGTCTGCATTAATTGCATACTGTGGTTTAGGATAATGCATTTTTCCATAAAATGATATATAAACCCAAACTATAGGAAAATAGGAAAGAAGAAAAATGGTTTTATTTAATTGTTGCCAAAATTTTTAAATCAGTCTCTCAAACGAGCATTTCAGAATTGTGTGTGATTCAGCTGTTCCAGGAGTTCAAGGAACACTGTTCAGTTAGAGGGAATCCTCTGCTTTTTCTGGGCGTGTACAGCTTTGACTGGTTGTGTGTGTGTGACTATTTTTAAATGGCAGGAACACTCACAGGAACAATCTGGTACTTACAATAGAATGGCCTACAAACTTTGTTATTGTTGTTAGATGCTGTTGAGTCAGTTCCAATTCCCAGTAACCCTGTGAGCAACAGAAGGAAACACTGTCCAGTTCTGTGCCATCCTCATAATCATTGCTGTGTTTGAGCCCATTGTTGCAGCCACTGTGTCTTGTTGAGGGTCTTCCTTTTTTTTTGCTGACCGTCTACTTTACCAAGCATGATGTCCTTCTCCAGATAACATGTCCAAAGTACATGAGACAAAGTTTTACCATCCTTGCTTCTGTGAGCATTCTGGCTGTACTTCTTCCAAGATAGATTTCTTCATTCTTCTGGCAGTCCATATTCTTCACCAACAACATAATTCAAAGGCATTGATTCTGCTTCGGTCTTCCTTATTCATTGTCCAGTTTTCACATGCATATCAGGCAGTTGAAAAGAGCATTGCTTGGATCAGGTGCACCTTAGTTTTCAAAGTGACATCTGTGCTTTTGAACACTTTAAAGAGGTCTTCTGCAGCAGACGTGTCCAATGCAGTACGTCATTTGGTTCATGACTGCTGCTTCCATGGGTGTTGATTGTGGATCCAAGTAAAATGAAATCCTTGACAGCTTCAGTATTTTCTCCATTTATCATGGTATCACTTATTGGTCCAGTTGTGAGGATTTTTGTTTTCTTTATGTTGAGGTATAATCCATACTGCAGGCTGTGGTCTTTGATTTTCATCAGTAAGGACTTCAAGTCCTCTTCACTTTCAGCAAGCAGAGTTGTGTCATCTGGGTATCACAGGTTGTTAATGAGTCTTCCTCCAATCCTGATGCCATGTTCTTCTTCATATAGTCCAGCTTCTCGGATTATTTGCTCAGCATACAGATTGAATAAGTGTGATGAAAGGATACAACCCTGATGCACACCTTTCCTGATTTTAAACCATGCAGTATTCCCTTGTTCTGTTTGAATGACTGCGTCTTGGTCTATGTACAGGTTCCACATGAGTGGGCCCCTGTTAAACCCTGATTACCTCTGTGAGCATGGATGGCTGTGTGCATTGTGATCCTGCGGCTATTTCTGTGCTGAGGGAAGAGGTTTGTTATTCTTGGCCAAGTGTTAAGGTTAAAAACAAACAAAAAAACCAAGGCCATGCCTATGAGATCTTATCTCAGACAGAAAGACCTTTGACATCTTGGGACAGGCCAGTTGTTTTCTGTCTGGTGGTTTTCCCTGGAACTTTTTGGGACAGACTCCCAGAGCTTGTTTAGGTAGCAGCACTTCAGGGTGAGGGTAGGGTTTGCACTCTGTGGGAACCGAGGGGTCTGATTCAGCAAACCTTATCAGCCCGGTGGTTCTCCCCTGTTCCCACAAGGCTATGTTAAAGACTCAATGGCTTTAGTTGATAAAACCCTAGACAGATGGGTGGGGAATGTGAGGAGGAACATCATTCCTCTTCCAAATTAATTTGGTTCTTCACCTGCCTGAATTAGACTTGAGAACCAAATTCACTTCTGGGGTGAGTCAGATTCCCATTTCTGAAAATATTTGTCTTATGTTTGAGGTAACCATATGAACCCTCATGAGAGAGATGTATGGAGAAGCAGTGAAACTTGAGGAAATACTCAAGCCTGGTCTTTTGAAAGCAATACTAACAACAACAAATATATGAATATCCTAACTACCTGTGCTTCATATTCACTGAACATATGAGGACATATATTTACATTGATTATGAAGAAATTATATTACACGTAAGGAAGAATTTCTCATCAAAGATCTTGAAATAGATTCCTGTGAAGGATCTAAAAAATAGGATAGATTTTCTTCAGTTTAGGCTGGATTTAAGGTCATCTTACCTGAGAGGAGATAGGATAAACAACTTTTCATAATGTCCTTGCAACATGTAGCATTTTATGATTAAAAAATATTTTTAAATGAACATTGGAATAAGATCAGACTATTTTGCAAGTCTAGAAAGTATGTCCCTGATAGGTAATTAAAAATGAAACGGATTTTCCTTCCATAAACTGTTATGGACATTATGAAAGGTTAGGCTGTGGAGATAATAGCAGGTTAAGAGACTCTAATGTATTCTAATAGTAAAATTTCAAATATTAAGTATTGAATAGAGATGGCATTTGTAAAGTACTTAGTGCAATGCCTGACATATAGTAAATCAAAAACAACAACAACAAAAAAAAAACCATTGCCTCTGAGTCAGTTCCAACTCATAGTGACCCTATAGGACAAAGTAGAACTGCCCTGTAGAGTTTCCAAGGAGCAGCTGTTGGATTCAAACCACCAACCTTTTGGTTAGCAGCCAAGCACTTAACCACTGCATCACCAGGGCTGTAATAAATAGTAAGCGCTCCAAAAAAACAGTAGTAGAGATTTTGATTCTGATTCTGATTACTATTATTATTTTGGCTATTTTATAGTTGAGGAAGGGAGTTCATGGCTAATACCTGTCAAAGAAAAAAATTTCAAAACTGATGCAACCTCTGTGTTTCAATTGGAAGAACATAGGCTCTTGGCTGTGTGTCAGAATTGCTTTCTCCCTATTTCAAAGTTGACATTTTCCTTAAGCCTGCTTGTCTTCCCACTTTAGGGAAAGTGAAATTGTGGAGCTCAAGTCCCAGCTGGCCCGTATGAGAGAAGACTGGATTGAAGAGGAGTGCCACCGGGTGGAGGCTCAGTTAGCCCTCAAGGAAGCCAGGAAAGAGATTGAACAACTCAAACAGGTCATCGAGACTATGAGGAACAGCTTGGCTGATAAAGATAAAGGCATCCAGAAGTATTTTGTGGACATAAATATCCAAAACAAGAAGTTGGAGTCTCTCCTTCAGAGTATGGAGATGGCACACAATGGCTCCCTGAGGGATGAACTGTGTCTAGACTTTCCATATGATTCCCCAGTGAAAAGCTTCACCCTAAACACCTCTTTTGACAAGATGGCAGATGGGTTGTCCCTGGAAGAGCAGGTCATAGAGGAAGGGGCTGACAGCGAGCTGCTGGTGGGAGATAGTATGGCTGATGGTACAGATTTGTTTGATGAGATGGTGACAGCCACTGCCACAGAGTCTGGAGACCTGGCCCTTCTTCATTCCACCCCTGGAGCAAAGGTCCTTGAGATCCTCCCTATTGCGGTGGGTCAGGAGGAGGGCAGTGTGGTGGTGGAGCAAGCTGTCCAGACCGACGTGGTGCCGTTCAGCCCCGCAGTCTCCGACCTCATTCAGAGCCTGCTCAAGCTCCAGGACCCCTGTTCCTCGAGCTCGGCATCCCCTGATGAGTCTGGGGCTGAGCCGACCGAAAGCTCCCCAGAGGCCATCCCTACCTTAGTGATTGATTTAACTCCAAGAAATCCAAACTCAGCCATCCTTTTGTCTCCTGTGGAGATACCATACGACAAAGTAGAGGCGGAAGTTCATGAAAACCACCTCATGAAAGAGCTAGATTTTGCAGCCTACACAGAAGAGAGGTTGGACGGCATCATCCCATTTTCTCGGGGGGATGTGGCAAAGCAGTACTGGAGCAGAAGTTTCCTGGTAGATCTCCTGGCTGTGGCTGCCCCTGTGGTCCCCACCATTTTGTGGGTATTCAGTACTCAGAGAGGGGGAACAGATCCTGTCTACAACATCGGAGCCTTGCTCCGGGGCTGCTGTGTGGTTGCCCTCCATTCACTCCGCCGTACCGCCTTTCATATCAAAACCTAAATAGAAGGTGTTGTTACAGTGTGCCAGTTTGTCCCGTGTGGCATTGTGCCAGTGGAGAAACAGCAGGTCAACCTGTGGCGGTCTCTAGTCGGTCGTTTTGCTCCTTGGTATTTGATTTGCACTATATTTAGTTGAAGCCTGTTCGCTGTTTAAAACCGGAGGTATCTTCAAAGGCATGGAGACCTGGTTCAAGTAAATGTCCCACCAGTGTGGTATAAAAAGCATGCTCATGACCCTGCCGTGTCGTCTTAGGTACCCATTCTTATTCCAGTGGTACAGGAAGAGAAAATGCAAAGTTTGCACTTTCAAGACAGCTTCTGTAAGGCTGGCATGTTATCTCCTTGCTTTGCTTTGTGCCGTTGTAAAACGTGTAATTGTTCCAGCATTCCAATGGTCTTGTGCATAGCAGGGGACTGTAACCAAAAATAAAAATGTATTTGTGTAATTGGTTTGAAGAAGTCTGGAGTAGCTCTTTAGTGTCCTACTTGGGGTTGATAAGGTTTGAGTAGTTTTTTTTACTAAATGTAGCTCCAAAGTCTTAAATGGCTTGTTTGTTCTTAAACCTGTGAATGGATGAAATTGTATGTAGGTTTACAATGTATTAACTTATTTTTTGCTTACTATATATAGTGTTTTATTGGAAGTTGTTTGTAACTACACATTTAAGCATGACAAAATAAAGATTAGTGTTTCCATTTTAATAAATGTATCCCCTCATGAGATCATTGTCTGTGATTTTATTTTTATATATGACAAAGACTAAATGAGTAGCAGATCCTTTCATCTTTTATCAACAGGGAATCAGTAAAATGGAATAGGATAAGAAATGAGAAAGAGGGAAAAATAATTCTGAAAGAAAGGTGAGGATTTCCTACCGTCTTTAACAAAAGTTCATTTCTGAATAAAGAGATTTGATCATTTGTTTTCACTTTTAAATTACCCATGCATTTCTTTGTACATAAGCATGTGTTGAGTGCTTTCAGGAAAGTTGGGTTAATTTTTTTAAAAATAGGTTAGGTATGCAGTAGAAAGAATATGTGACTGTGTCAGGATCATTTTGTGGGGCAAAATGGGGATGGGAGCCATATTGGAGTGTGTTGAAGAGTGAATGGAAGAGAGTAAAAATCAGTGTACACAGCTTTTGTTTTTTTAAGTTTTACTTTGAAAGGCAGTACAGAAGTGAGTGATAGTTACAAGGGGATATGAGGTCAAGGTTTTCCCACCCCCCCCCCAACATTGAGATAAAGTATGTTTTTGTTTTTGTGCTTTTGCAGATGATCAATAAAAACAAATTGATGGCTGTATTTGCTTCCTAGGGCTGGCATAACAAAGTACCACAAATTGGGTGGCTTGTGAGAACAAAAATGAATTGTCTCACAGTTCTGGAGACTAAACCCAAAAAAACTTGTTGCCATCGAGTCGATTCTGACTCATAGCAGCCCTATAGGACAGGGTAGATAGGGCAGAGTAGAATTGCCCCATAGGGTTTCCAAGGCTGTAAATCTTTGGAATCAGACGACCACATCTTTCTCCAGTGGAGTGGCTGGTGGATTCAAACCACCAACCTTTTGGTTAGCAGCTGAGCACTTTAACCACTGTGCCATCAGGGCGCCTATTCTGGAGGCTGAGATCCCATAGTATCAGGGTATCGGCCTTGTTGATTCCTTCTAAGGGCTCTGAGGAAGTTTCATGCCTCTCTTTGTAGCTTCTGTTGATGGCCAGCAGTCCTTGACAGTCCTTGGCTTGTATCACTCCAATCTGATTCTGCCTTCCCTCTGTATCTGTCTCTGTCTTTTCTCTCTTATAACAACACCACTCATATTGGATTAGGACCCGCCCTACTCAGTATGATACTGATATTTTTTGCTAACTGATATTTTCAAAAGCCCTGTATCCAAACGAGGTCACATTCACAGATTCTGTGTTAAGACGTCAACATAACGGGGGCAGGGGGAGAATTCAATCCATAACAACAAACGAGAGAAAGGGACAACTGAAGAAGGGAACTCCTTGAGAAGATGAGTAGCCATAGGATCCAGGGCATGTGGATGTATGTGTGGAGAGGGGTGATTTGTCTTTGATAAGACATTTCTTCTTTTGGAAAACACACGTGCACTTACACAGCACCCATCGTGCAGCTCTAGTCAGCAATAAAAGGATTTGGCCAAAGTGGAAGGGAGACTATTTTTGGAGGTGAATACTTGGAAGTGTCACCAAACACTGCACCATAGTGACTCAGGTTCCTTCCTGTAGTCCAGTTCATACCAATACCTAGATGCTAGTATCTTCCTTAAAGTCGTCTTGTGTTTTAGTCGTTGCTGAATTAAAGATTTTTCACTTTAAGAAAAATTGTAAGCTTATTTTGGGTATCCACTTGTTGCTACAGAAACGAAGATAACCCATACAAACTCAGCATTGTTCATCCATTCAAGCTACATGGAAAGATGGGCCCCAGTGAGAATTCTCTTCGAACCACAAACATTTCTGTTGATTATTGAATTGTAGGCAGCTGATCACAAATAGCAAATTGCTTTGTCGTCTTAATGTTCCAAATCCTTTTTTAAGTAAATCAAAAGATTCAAACAAAGCAACCTACCTGAGACAAATTTTGGACACTGCATATCCTACCCACACTGGAACAAAATTGCACAAAGGTAAAAGATCATGGAGCAGTTATTCCTTATTTTTTCCTTCTTCTTCTCGGTCTTCTTCTTCCCTCCCCCTCCTTCTTCTCCTTCAGGGTTTCAGCATGTAGCCTATGGAAAATTACTGCTTTTATTCAGAACAAAATCTTTCACAAATGAGTCCCTTGGAGTACACAAGAGATGGAACATAGCTCGCCTTTCGAAAGCCCAAGGCGTTGGCTGGATTTGTGGACAGGATGAACTGATCCCATAAAAAGAAGCCCCTAAAAGTTGTTTTCACTAATTTGGATGCCTATGATGTACAAACAGGCAGGAAAATGGAAAAAAGAACAATTCCACTCTATTGAACAAATTGCTGTCCTATCAAAGCAAATGTTAAACATTTCCTACAGTTATGTGTGCAAACATTCCAATTTAGAAGAAAAGATTTTTTTCCCAAAGGGATATGCTGACCTTTCCAAGTTGAGCTGCTCAGAAAGGGGAGGGGAATGCAATCTACTTAGATGCCAAGCATTTCTGACATTTGCGGCAGGAGAAAAAGGAAGTCTATGATTTGCATGTATCATAGGCGTTGCCTAACTATTGGTTGGGTCTGATATGTTTTTCTCTTGATGGTTTTTCCTTTTAAAAAGTTTGGGGTAGCTTCTGACTTCATTTTGGGTCAGTGATCACTTTTACAAAATTCACATATTTCCATTCTTGCCAGGCAAAATGTACACAATGAAGCAATAACCTGGAAAATTAAAAATAATAGTTTATAGCTACCGAATTTTGAAAGAATGTCAACAATTCCCAATTGTCCGGAACAACAACAACAAAATTAGAAAGTCCAAGTAGAAGAAAACCATTTTATCTCAGGTAATTACTTTTAAAACACTGGAAGATATCCTCTGCTGTGACTACTGATTCCCCTACTATCACAAAGATTGTGATAACTAATGGTTATAACAATAATTCCAAAGAATTTTACAATTCAAAGAAAGCTTAATCACTACTCAGAGTTTGTGTTAAAAGATTGGACTATGTCAGTAGTGCTCAAGTTTTTAAAAGGATACTCATTTTAAAAATGTTTTGAACATAGAAACCAATATATAAAACACAAAAAAGTGAATTTTTGGTGTAGCAGCACTGGGCAGAGTGCTTCCATGTTTCTCCCTCTTGTTCCCTGCTGTAGTCTTGGTAACACCTCAGAGAACAGCTTGAAAAACATTTCACTATATACCAACTTCTTGGATAACTGCCAGTTCATGTAAGTTCTCATGTATATGGTATACTCACTACCATCAAGTCACTTCTGACTCATAGCAACCCTAAAGCATGGAGTACAACTATCCCATAGGGTTTCCAGGGTTGTAATCTTTACGGAAGCAGACTGCCACATTTTTCTCCTGAGGAGCGGCTGGTGGATTCAAACTGACGAACTTTTGGTACAGCCGAAGGCTTAACTGCTGTGCCATCAAGGCTCCCCATTCATATATGGTAACTCTTAGTTCATTGAAATAGTACTCTGGCTGACGCCAGAAAACAGGACTTTGAACCAGTTCTTTTCTGCTCTGAAACCCTGATGAGAATTTGCATTTCCACCCCAGTTAAGAATTTGCATTTCCACCCAGATGCACTGGATCAATCTACATTCTTTGTCTGAGAATCACCACGAGATTTTGTTAAAATGTAGATTCTGATTCAGTACATCTGGGGTGGAACTGCATATTCTCAGCAGGGGGTGGGAACCAATGAATCAGTTAGAAGCCCTGCGGAAAACTTAATCCTCTTAACTGTCCCAAATTAATGCTTAACGGAGTTGCTTTCTAATCCTTTCACAAAATTTTGTCTGTCAGTGCTCTGATGGTTTAACAGTAAGAGGACGCATTCTCATTCTGAGTACAAAGGCCATATAAGCATCTGAGACTTGGGACTGTGGTGATATAAACTGGTGTAAAAACCCACAGTCTAGGCTCCCTTTGTGAATGATCTTGAAGGTGGGCATCATAGCGTCCTGCTCATTTGTGGCAGGAGTTAGACCCCATGGTGATCTTATCTGATCCACCTTCAGTAATACTTTCTCTCATTCCCTGAAAGTGTCATTTCTGAAGAAAGCTATTTGGAGTCTATTTGGAAGACTATTTGGAGTCACTCTAGAGCTCTAGTGAAGGAGCCCTGGTGGTGCACTATTTAAAGCTCTTGGCTACTAACCAAACTATCTGCGGTTCGAACCCACCAGCCACTCCGTGGGAGAAAGATGTGGCAGTCTGCTTTGGTAAAGATTCACAGCCTTGGAAACCCTATGGGGCAGATCTAGTCTGTCCTATAGGTTTACTATGAGTTGGGATCTAGTCAACAGCAATGGATTTGGTTTGGTTTTTAAAAGCTCTAGTGGACTGGAATATGAAAACCATTAGCAACTGCAATATTTTTCTAATTTGATAGCA